ATGACACCAATTTAATTAAATAATGACTACGGAGGCAAGCTTCACATGGGAACGATAAGCCCATATTGACGTCATTTACTTACAACATTTTTAGCAAAAAAAATGTCACAGCAACCATTGAGACAACAACCTATTACCAAAATAATTAGAAATGCTACCAATGATTAAAAAGAGAAGTCAATGAATATAGCAAGGAAATGACATTGTTCCTCTTTAAATTACCTCCCGAAGAAAGCTTTGCAGTGAGAAGTACCTTCACTGCTGTACACATTGGGATTTTGCTGTAACACATTGCTGTACTATCTGGGATTGAAGTGAGAACCCGGACACTGTGTAGGTACAGCAGATTTAGCAGTGACCAGTTCATTAATTCTGTATTTGTATTATCTGCTAAATAATTCATTGCCACACACTGCATGAGCTGACCTGTTAAATAATGCATCCGCAACAGAGTCATTAATTATGTTATTCTTTGCATGATGTCTGTTGGTCCTGTTGCTCATGTTTGCTGATATCTGAAAGTACCCACTAGCTTATTTAGTAATTAGAAGAATCCTTGCATTTGATTCAGCACTTCATCATGTCATCAAAACATCTCAAAGTGCATCACAGGATTTACTGTACAGTATGTGACAGGGTATTTTTACAATATAATGCAGCAGCCAATTTGACACAGCAATGTCTCACGAACAGCCATGAAGCTGGGGGATTGTTGGTCAAGAAACCAGGAGAAATACTCTTCTGTTTTTGAATAATGCTGTGGGATTTTTAACATACAACTGAGCAGAGGATGAGGCCTCAATTTAATGTCTCATCTGAAGAACGTATCTCCGTCAATGCAGTGTGTACATCCTCAGCACTGCATCGCTGTGTCAACCTAGACGTTGAATTTAAAATCCCAACATAAAGCTTGACCATTAACATTTGAGGTTGTCTGTTTGTGTCATGAGGAAAGTTACATTCGAGCTACAGAGATGACATTTTTAGGATTCTAGCTCATTGCAAAAATTTAGTATGAAATGTGAAGTGGATCACATCAAAGCAGAGTTTCTACAGGTCAGCATGACACACGTATTACTGAAAGAAATTCCTGCATTTACATAGCTTGGATCTCTTATTAATGAAAATAATAATAATCCTTGCATTTGATATATGCAAGGATTATTATTATTTATTATTAATAGGAAATCTAAGCCATGTCTTCTAGACATCTCAAAGCACCTCACAGAATATACTGTAAAGTGAATTGACTGTACACTTATGGGCAAAAGGCAGCAGCCAATTGCACACAGCAGTGTCTCACAAACAGTTATGGATTGAAGTGACCAATTTATTTATTTTTTTGAGGGATTATTATCAGGTATGTGGAGTGAGGAATTTATTAAGGAATAATACCATTAGAATTATTTGAAATTTAAAACACATTACCACGCGAGGGGATCGGGATCTATGTCAGCACTTTCAATCAGAGGAAAACAGAACAGAGGCAATATATGACTCCAAAAGGGTCCTGTTAAAATGTGGGCAGTGTGCCTGTTAGTCACACTGATGGACAAAAAGAAAAAGAAATGACAAGAGAGTACCGTTATGGGGCCAAGCATTAAGAAAACCATAGGCAGCACAACCACAGAAGTGCAATGGAATTGGGATATTATTGATCCACAAGGACTTCCTTACCTAATGGGCCAATAACAACTTCCATTTCTATAGTGCCCTTAATGTAAAGGGATATCTTAGATCGCTCGAAAAATTTAATGCTGGACCGAGCACGGAAAGAGAGACTTAATGATGTTGACCAAATGCACAGTCAAGGAAATAAGATTATAGGCAGGAAGAAAGAAAAACAGTGGTTTTGGGATCGAGTTCCAGAGGACCTGGCAAATAACTAAAACCACTGGTGAGATTCAATTCTAAGTGACCAGCACTAATTAATATTGCATGTGCTCTTTCAATGCATAACAGTGCGTGGTGCATTGCTGTGTGCAAATTGGTCACCATGTTCGTCTGCAAAATACATGATCAATAAACTTTATAGAAAATCCTGCAAAATGCTTTGAGACTTGCTCCCAATGTGATGAGGCGCTATATCAAATGCAAAGATTATTATTATTACACAGGGGCGTTCCACCCACCGTTGGCCATGAAATGGCTTCAGATACCAAGGGTCATGTACGGTCAGAAAGAGTTGTGCGTTTCAGTACGAATTAACTGTGTATAATAAATTTCTATAAAACATATTTATTTATTGTCAAGAATTATAATTTTAAATGTTCTCTTTTAGCTCATGAAAGTGTACAGGACGATTTTCCAGCTCAAGAGACAAAGATTCAAGTGCAGTTAGTTCACTTGCAGGCTGCCTCAAATGAAATGAGATAAAATATTTTTTTGCTGTCTAAACTCTTTTCAACTTCCCCCTCCCCCGCTTAATTGCTTTGCCTATTTTTCAAAATGCTCTGTAAATGGGATTTTTGCTTTCTTCCAATGTTGGTTCAGAGAAGCAAGCCAAATCTGTCGTGTGCCGATCTTCAAAAGCGCAATCTGGTGAATTGCATAACTGGAACTGAAGACAGCAGTTTAACAAGCTTGATCTTTGTGCCATGAGCTGAATCATCCAGTGCAAGCTAAAATAGTTGGAAAATGTTTTAAATTAGAACACTTTGCTAAATAATAAATATTACCTATTTGATACAAACCTAACATTCAATTACACTGGAAATCACTGGAAGATATTTTTTGTACACAACCAAATATTAAAGAGTCTATACCCAATTGTGTTTATGATAACTACAGCATCCCTAAATTTTAAGTGTTGGCAGTGTTACCTCCAGCAATGTTCTCATTAATGTACTTTAGAAAGACTATAGCCATGGAGCTGATAATTGCAGCAGTTCTTAGCTGGACCAGTAGAGGGAATGCTGCATACAGTACTATACAGTACTACACTGTACTGTACTATACGGCACTGTAAAGGTGTTCCATTTTGGGAACAATACACATAAGACCAGATGGTAAACAACGCTAGAATGACGCCAGCGCTCCCACAGCTGCAGGAATTCCTCCCGCACCTTGAAGGTGAATTATTGTACCTGTATACAGACGCAGGAAGGAATCTGAGAAGCACAAACATTCTTCCAATTAAGACCGATCACTCACCCCGGGCTGTTTGTGGGACACTGCTGTGCGCAAATGGCTGCCGCATTTCTTTCACAAAACGCACAGGCTATCCACTTTACAGTATATCCTGTAAGCGGTTTGAGACGTCCCAACGACGTGATAAGGCGCTCTCTCAAATGCAAAGATTACTATTATCACCTGGAGTCAGGGTGTTACCAGAAATCTGTTTGTGGCCCACCAAACACTACCCCAAACCTAGCACAATATTATGAGTTGCCTCCAATATGGGTAGCAGTGGAGTAGACCGTTGGGATTATCGCTGTTGAAACTGTGTTAGAAAAGGTCTGCAAAGTTAAAAAAAAACAGCTTTGCGGGTTTACATTTTTTCTAATTAAAAATGAGACACCTAATATGTGGAGGTCCTGCAGTGTAACAGTTAGAGCAGTCGCCTTGCAAGCAAGAGGACCCGGGTTCAAATCCCGGGTAGGGCGAACCCTTATAATAACTAATAATATTTGCACTTGATACAGCGCCTTAACGACGTCATCGAGATGTCTCAAAGAGCGTCACGGGATATACTGTAAAGCGAATCGACTGTATATTTTGTGGGCGAAACGCGGCAGGCAGCCGGGGAAAAAAAAGAAGAAAAAAAAACCTCCTTAGCAAGTTTCCTTACTCCACAGGCGCTGTGTTTACCTCGCAGCGAGTGGGAACCTGGTGGCTTTTCCGGGGGCAATAAATCCCTTCCAAACAAAAAGAAAAGAAACAATACTTCGGTCCCCTCGATCCGCGGCTGCTTGCTGGGGGGGGGGGGGGGAGGGGGACGCTGCCCGGGCGCGATCGGCTGCCGCGTTTCACCCGCAAAAACACGCGGTCGCTACGCGTTACGGGTACATCCCGTGAAGCGCTTTGAGACGTCTCGAAGACTTGACAAGAGCCGTATCAAACACAAGGATTATTATTGTTATTATTATTGTTATTACTATTGTTATTACTATTGTTGTTATTATTATTACCTGCCCCTAAAACAGTTTCTTTCACATCCATAACAAGCCCCCACACACCCCCTCCCCTCCCCCACACCACACACCCCCTCCCCTCCCCCACACCACACACCCCCCTCCCCTCCCCACACCACCCCTCCCCTTCCCCCCATACCCATCCCTCCCCTCCCCCACACACCCCTCCCCTCCCCCACACACCCCTCCCCTCCCCCACACACCCCTCCCCTCCCCCACACATCCATCCCTCCCCTCCCCCACACATCCATCCCTCCCCTCCCCCACACCCCCCCTCCCCTCCCCCACACCCCCCCTCCCCTCCCCCACACACCCCTCCCCTCCCCCACACATCCATCCCTCCCCTCCCCCACACCCCTCCCATCCCTCCCCTCCCCCACACCCCCCTCCCCTCCCCCACACACCCCTCCCCTCCCCCAAACATCCATCCCTCCCCCCCCACACACCCCTCCCCTCCCCCACACATCCATCCCTCCCCTCCCCCACACACCCCTCCCATCCCTCCCCTCCCCCACCCCCCCTCCCCTCCCCCACCCCCCCTCCCCTCCCCCACACACCCCCTCCCCTCCCCCACACACCCCTCCCCTCCCCCACACATCCATCCCTCCCCTCCCCCACACACCCCCCCCCCCCCCCCCCCTCCCCTCCCCCACACACCCCCTCCCCTCCCCCACACACCCCCTCCCCTCCCCCACCCCCCCCTCCCCTCCCCCACACACCCCCTCCCCTCCCCCACACACCCCCCCTCCCACACCCACTTGGCCACAGAGAGCGCCGCCGCCGTTACCCTGGAAACCGAGGACAGGCCGAGTAATCCACTTTACGGCGCTGCTGCAAAGCGCTGGCGCGCCGGCGCCTTTTGCGACATTTTGCGGCGCGGGTTGGCGGCAGCGCGTTGCCGGGTGTCCCCATGTGCGGGAGCTGAGAGGGGGAGTGGGAGAGGCCATGGCGGCGGCTACAGGCCGCGAGCGGCGAACCCTCAGCGCCAGGTGAGCGGCAGCGCGGCCTGACACAGGGCCTGGGGTGGCCGGGGACTGACACTGAGTGAGAGACCGAGGGAGGGGGGGGGAGTGAGAGAGGGGGGGGGAGTGAGAGAGGGGGAGGGGAGTGAGAGAGGGGAGGGGAGTGAGAGAGGGGAGGGGAGTGAGAGAGGGGGGCGAGTGAGAGAGGGGGGGGGAGTGAGAGGGGGGGGGGAGTGAGAGAGTGGGGGTTGGAGTGAGAGAGTGGGGGTTGGAGTGAGAGAGTGGGGGTTGGAGTGAGAGAGTGGGGGTTGGAGTGAGAGAGTGGGGGTTGGAGTGAGAGAGTGGGGGTTGGAGTGAGAGAGGGGGAGTGGGGTGAAATGAGAGGGGGAGAGGGGAGTGGGGGTGGAGTGAGAGAGGGGGAGTGGGGGTGGAGTGAGAGAAGGGGGAGAGGGGAGAAGTGGGGGTGGAGTGAGAGGGGGAGTGAGAGGGGGAATGGAGGGGGAGGGGGTGGAGTGAGTGATGGGGAGTGAGAGGGGAGGAGTGGGGGTGGAGTGAGAGTGTGGGGGGAGATGGCTTTAGAGCCAGAGCTTCACTTACACTCAGCCATTAATTAACTCCAGTCGCGCCCTCGGGTGTCGGCTCGGCTCGGTTTGGTGGCGCTCTCTCTGTCAGGAGCTCCCGATGCTCCAGTGCGGTGCTGGGGGTGAGCGAGCACTGTACGGTCGCGAGTTGCCGTCCTTCTGATGAGATGTTAAACCAGCGGTGGCTGATTCAATAAAGTTTTTCCTCATTGAATTTTTCTTCATTTACGGCCGTGACGAAATCCCTGAACCTTCAAGGGTCTTGGGAGGTCCTCCCGACGTGAAAGGCGCTGTAAAAATATCAGGTGGTGTTCTTGTGCCATAGTTATCCCGTTACACCCGTTCCACTGGCCTTCGGCTCACTTTTGAGGTGTCAACAACAACAACTTGCATTTATATAGCGCCCTTCACTCGTGTGGCGTCCCGGAGCCCTTGAAGCGTCAAAAAGTAGCTCATCAAGAAGTGACTCGCCAAATGCCCAGCACCAGTCCAGGCACCAATTCAATACCTTGTTTCCCGTAGCTACCGAGCCCCAAGCCGCAATACCCATGGCACTGCTATAAATTCTTGGCAAAAAATTCAACGCCGAAAAATTTATGTAGTTGGCTGACCAAAACGGTGGCCACCACCGTGTTAATCTTCCCAGATAAAATCGGTCATTCGCTTGATGGCCTCCCTCAGTTTCAACATCCACAAGATTAAGCTGATGCCCAAACTCCGCCACTCAACAACAATAACAAAATTACATTTGTATAGTGACTTTCACGTCGGGAGGACGTCCCAAGGCGCTGGACAGACAGTTACGGACCTGAGCTGGGGGTCAGGGAGGTTGGAGGGCGGGGGGGGATCCAGGGAGATCAAAAGCACCGTCGAAGAGGATGGTTTTGAGGAGGGTCTTGAAGGTGGCGAGGGAGTGGGTGAGATGGAGTTCCAGAGGGTGAGAGCAGAGTGGCGGAAGGTCAGCCCTCCAATAGTGGGGCGAGCAAGGTGGGGGACATGAAGCAGGCCGCAGCCCGCTGAGCAGAGGGAGCGAGCAGGATGGTGGGGGGGGGGGGGGGGCGTTAGGAGGTGACAGGTAGGGGGGAGGAAGACCGTGAAGGGCTTTGAAGGTGAGGACCAGAATCTTGAACTGTATCCTCTGTGTGATGGGAAGACAGTGGAGTCGGGCGAGGATGGGGATGATAGGGTCACGGAGCCTAGTGTGGGAGAGGACACGGGCTTCTGGATGATCTGCAGCCTGTGGAGGGAGGAGTTGGGGAGGCCGACAAGCAGAGAGTTTGCATAGTCGAGCCTCGATGTAATGAAGGCGTGTATGAGGGTGGATGTCCTGCATACCATTCACCCTGTACCTGACTCAGATTGATTTCAAGGTCCTTATCCTAACATAAATCTATTCATGCCCAAGCACCTCTCTACCTCTCTGACTTGCTTGTACCACATTCCATCCTCCCCGTTTACTCAACTAACACAGGCCTGCTGTGTGTGTCCCAACCAACCGCTCCACACCATCATCAGTGCCCGAGCCTTCAGTCACTATTGCCCCAAAGTACTTTGGAATGTCCACTTGGCATGAAATCAAATACAAGGATCATTATTATTACAGTTGACTGTTTTGTGTTTCCCAGGGATTTACTTGGCCCTAAAGATGAAGAAGAGGAGAATTTATTTCAGACAAAACATGTCATGAGTGACAGTGAGAATGAGGTATTGTATCTTTCAAATGTTTTGCTCTGAAACATTAATAAATTAATAGGTGGTTAATGTTTAAAATGTTGGCTAATCTCAGCCCTGCAATCAAATCAATATGGTATTCCGAAGAGAAAAATGTGAGGTGCTATTAGACATTTACAACACCATAACAATCTTAAAAGCTTATTGAAGCGAAATGTGAGGTGATTCTTTCGGCAGAAAAACCAAGGGAAGGAGTATATGTTGAATGGCAGTATCTTGCAAGGAGCAGAGAAGCAAAGCGACTTGGGAGTGCAGGCGCATGAGTACTTAATAGTGCAGCAGAAATACTGGCTGATTTGTCCCTGACCCAGGGCCCAAGCTAATTGTAGCACTTCTATTACTATCATAATTGATATAAGTTAACTCGGGCCAAACCACGACCAAATCTGTTTATTCCTCTCATTTGAAACAGCATGGTTGTAGACATCTTAATAATAATAATAATCCCTCCAAAACAAAAAACAAAACAAAAAACAATAATAAATTGGTCATTTTTAATCTACGACTGTTTGTGGGACATTGCTGTGTGGCTGCCGTGTTCGCCCACAAATATACAGTCAATTCACTTTACAGTGTGTTCTGTGAAGCGCTTTGGGACATCTAGAAGACGTGAAAAGCATTATATCAAATGCAAGGATTATTATTATTGAGTGCAGAAAATGTGCAAAATTATGCCTGCTCCCAGAATTCACAACCATGAAGATAATAGTTTGAGCTTAAAATGTTCCATGCTGTTATGATTTCATGCAGACCATTGGACTAGACTAACGGGATGATCTTTAAGGAGAAACTTGATCTATACTTGAAAAGTGGGATTTGATGTACACGTATTATAACAGAATCATCAATGCAATTCTATGTTTACTCCATTAAGCTGGTGAAGATTCTTTATGAAAGAAGCCATCTAGAATTCAATCAGCCAATAGATGTGAATGACAGTCTTTTTTAACGCAAGTCTAAAGTATTGTCTTCCTTTTGCTGAGACGTTTTTATTTTGATCTATTCCACAGGAGGGCAGTGACGATGAGAGCAAGCATCAGAAGCTGCTGGAGGCAATCAGTTCCCTGGATGGGAAAAAAAGGTAAAGGAACCTTAACACCTTGAATGTGTGGCTGTGCCTTACATTATTCTCATTTAACTGTTTGCTTGATCAATAAATGTTTATTCTTTCCAAACTGAGATAAGTGTCCTGGCTAACAATTCCCCAAATAAAATTGGTTGTAGAATATTCACATTTGGGCTATTATGGTGAACAGTATTCAATGTGTGTTTGTTTTGGGCATTGAGATTGATATTGGCCACGTCCTATAATTATGGCACTTTGTTCAAATTGACCTGGAAAGTTTTGAATTATTTCCTATTGTTGTTTCTAATCATCAGTTTTCTATATGAAATGATTTTGGTGGTATTGTCATATGAACACTTTTGTTGGATCCTTGTTCCTCATTCAGTCCTTTCTGTGTGATTCTAGGAGAAAGCTGACAGAGAGGACGGAGGCCAGTTTGCAGGTGTCCGAGTTCACCATCAGTTCAGGAGGTATGGGCGATTTGGAGATGTTCACCTACAAAAATACAGTCACTAATGCAACAACTTGCATTTATATAGCATTCCTTCATGTAGGGTAATATCTCAGAGGGCATACACGTCACAATGAATCCTGTGAAGCACTGTGGGATGTCCTCCTGATGTGAAAGGCGCTGTATCAAATACAAAAATGGAGGGATTATTTAACAACAGTTTGTGACAGAGTATTTGCATATTCTAAGCATGATTTTTTTCTAACTTCACACGATCATTTAGACGATTAAATATTTTGATTTTTTTATTGTTTAATTGTCCCAATTTTCTATGACAAGGTTTTGTTTAATGTAATTTACTCACAATGCAATTTCTGTCAGGTGCGGGTGAGAAGATCGAACTGTCAGATCTTCTTCAAACAATACGACCATCTGCTACCTCGCTCAATACTGTGAAGAAACAGCTCACCAGATTTAAGAAGAAGAACAAGACTCTAGATTTACCTCTCAGCAAGCAAGTGACTGAAAAGGTGAGCTAAATGTTCTCATTTGGATTGCAGGAAAAGCTTTTGCCCGTAGGATTCGAACAAATCCATTTTGTTTATTACTTGTTATTACTGTGCTGAAAGCTTGTTCTTAAGTTCGAACTGTCAAGGTTAGAATTAAATCCACATCTCAAGGGTGAGAACCATGTTTTCTGATGTACAACAACACCCACAACTTGCGGAGGGAAATATTTGTGTCTTATGATAACCACAGAATTCAGTGTTTATCTGGCAAATTGTGCATTGTGAATGACCTAAGTTGGTCCCAACGCTTTGGGACGTCCTCCTGACATGAAAGCCGCTATACAAATGTAATTTGTTGTTGTTGGTTGATTCCTTCGGAAGTGGCACACAAGAAATGCTAACCCCTTCAGGCCTGTCCTAGTCCAGAGCCGATCAGAGGGATGCGGTGGCTCACTGCTCTCGATTGTCCTCTTGAATCTTCACTGCTCCTTTCCTTCAGTCACCAGATTTTCCTTTAATGCAGCATTAGTAGAGTTTAAAAAAAAGTGTCTGTGTGTACACACCTTGTATGTATGAATGTGCGGATAGAGTCATTTGTTTTCGGAGAAGGGATACAAAATTACACTGGAAGGTAGTGGTGGGAGTATACGGTTTGATTGTTTGGATGTTTCGTGGTTCACAGAACTCCTCAGCTGGCTGATGGAATGGTTTACAGCAAGGAGATCCTGTTTGATTCAAGGATTCATTCTCCAAGGTCCAAGTGTTCGATGGGTTTTTATTTTGACTGTTCATGGTTAAAATCTGCGTTATTAGTCAGGTGATTAATTTCTAACAGTGCAGAATATGAGCTGTTTTAACCCTGGCATTCTGTTTGAAAACATCTTTTGTGTTCTCACTAGTACAGTTGTGTTACTGATTCATTCATTCATCTCAGGATGTGGACCTTGCTGCAGGAACAGCATTTATTGCCCATCCCTGGCTGACCTGAGAAGGAGTTTCTGGATGGCTTCTCTGTAAAGTGAATGAACTGTGTACCAAATATGGCTAGAATGATACCCTTGTTTTGATAGCAGATTGGCCAAAATAGATAATTATTTGAATCCTGTTGCAGTAGATATGGTTATGCTTTGTTTATCTTAACAGATTCAAAGATCAGTGGCCGATAAGAAAACATCGAAGGAAGTGGCAAAATGGGATCACGTAGTGTTCCAGAATCGGAGAGCAGAGCAGCTTGTCTTCCCACTGAACCAGGAATCATTCACAGTCAAGCCAATGGAAGAAATGATAGCTGGCTGGAAGGTACAGCTTACTCAATCGGTACTCAGTGGGAATCAGTGTAATGCTCTGCTATCTGAGGCCATCTGTGTCTGACTCATGTGTAACGTAGATTATGTTCAGATAACCGGGTGTCTAGTGCATCCAAACCAGACTGAGAGTTCCACATCTGTATATCAATTACACATGGAAATTTCCCTGTGCCTGGATTGGAAAATGCATTTTGTCCTTGGAGGGTGGGAGGGGTGTTTGTTTTGCAAAATATAATTCTGTATACTGCAGAGAAGCTCTGAGATAAGCGGGTTTTGTTTGCGGTAGCAAGAATTACCGGTTATTTGTTTATTTCAGGCACGGACACCTCTGGAACAGGAGATTTTTAACTTGCTGCATAAGAACAATCAGCCCGTGAATGAGCCACTCCTGACTGCAGCAGAGAGGGCTTCTCTCCAAGCTATGAGCCTGGATGAGGTACGCTGTCTCCCTCTCACACACACATACACACATGCAGTCTTCCATATAGACGTGACACCTACACACAAGTGGTACCCTATTTACGCTGCTGATAATGAAGCCGTATCAATTCCAGTGTTAAAGCGATTTGTGCGGCAATTTGTGTTTCCTTGCACAGCCCTGCCCGAGCAACCTGTTTCATTGGTTTTCAAGCAAGCGATTGAGTTGTGTTTTTTTTTCCCCCAGAACTAATTCTATCAATGTTTCTCTTTCCTGGTTCCATTTTATATTTGGGGCACAGAAGACGAGAGCATTCCTCTTAAACCACGTTTTCTGATTTTATTCTAGGCTAAAGCCCGTCGAGCCGAGCTTCAGAAAGCCAGAGCCCTTCAATCTTACTACGAAGCCAAAGCGAAAAGATCAAAGAAAATAAAGAGCAAAAAGTAATTTTTGGAACCAAAGTTTTATAATTTTGAGCTCAACGTTGTGTTTAAGCAGTTCAACTTGGAGCTCCCTCATTTAACAATGAACTCTGTTCATTGTTAAATGAGGGAGCTCTGGTCTGGCGAACGGGAATTTCCAGCAAATCATAATTACAATTCCAGTTCCAGTAATTACTTGAATCCCGCAAACAGAAGATAGTAAGCTGTCGAGTCAAAGTCAATATCCCTGGCCATTGAGAAGGTCAGTGAGGGCAGCGAGGCTGCTCAGCATGGGGTTGGCACATGCTAGGAGTCACGAGTCTACAAGTCAATGGGCCCACGGACAGTTTAAACATTATCGGTTTCGGGCGTAGTCCAGCTGGGTTCAAATTCCGGAGTCCAGTAAACCAGGGGTTTGCTGTATTGGAATGCATTTGATATATCGCCTCATGTTGTCGAGGCTTCTCAAAGCGCCTCACAGTTACTTGTGTTTATCATTTGGAGATGTTCACTACAGCAAAGATTGCTTCACTGAGTGGAAAAAATCCTGCATTTGCATTGAGATTGTTTGCTGGGTAAATGGAGCGAGATGACTGGCAGTGCAGTGTTTGGAAGAAGCAGAGACACTATGTCTCACAGCTGCTCTTACATCAAGTTCAAACCTTGACTCACCGAACAGTGAGGTATTGTTTTTGTGTCCATGCGGTATACGTGCTGACAAGAGGCTGGACACCGTGCACACAGAAAACAAAATTACTGGTCAACACTGTGGGGTGCTCTTGCTCAGCTGTTAGTGGTTTGGATCAAAAATGCCATTGACAGGTTCCTGGCCGAAGGCCACCGACTCATTTCGTTCACCTACGGTGAGAGAATCTCAGGAAAGGGAAAAGGTTCTCAAATTTACACCGCAGGGATTCTGCTCAGCTGCCCACCAGACATTTCTATTCCTGCTGCATTTGATTTTAAAGCTGCCCTAGACATGTGCAGCACGGCCACATGGGCCTGATACAATACCATTCAAAATGGATTTATGTTTTGGTGCGGAATATTGTCTCAGTTATTAACCTGTTTTGACTCTGGAGAATTCTAACGAGCTGTATGTTTGCAGGTTTCACAGGGTGCTGAAGAAGGCCAAGAAGAAGCAGTTTCTGAAGGACTTTGAAGAACTAAAGAAGACTAATCCTGAGGCAGCTCTTGAGGAGATGAAGAAGTTGGAGAGTATACGAATCAAGGTGGGAAATCACAAGCAATTTAGCCGTATTCTTCATTCTAGTTGCCCTGATTCCTAAAGTGTTCAGTCAGTATGGTTATTTTGCATTCCTTTCCTGTCGTCATCAATTAAACTCCACAAAATGTCTGGCTTTGAAAGCAAAACCTCACTCAACCTAGTAATTGCATCTGTACACTGTCTTTCCACTTTGCGGATAAGTGAGTTGATTGAGGATCGATCAGGTCTGAATAAATCCAGTCTATTCTGATTTGGGCAGGACTGCACTCACACTATATTGATGCTCTTTAGTTACAATTTCCTGCTAAAACCAGAAAGTGCTGCAAATACATAGTATTGTCATTTGACAGTAACAACTTGCATTTTTATAGTGCCCTTCACGCCGGTTAGCATCCCGGAGCATCTAATAGTGGCGGAGTCTGACCCCGAGCCGGGGGAGAAGGAGGTGACCATAAGCACGATCAAAAAGGAAGGTCTTTAGCCAGGATTTGAAAGTGGGGAGGGAAGGGCCAAGGCACAGAGATTGGGAGAGAGAGTTCCAGAGCTTTGCGGCGTAGTGGCTCAAAGCACTGCCGCCGATAGTGGAGCGGAGGGGGCGAAGGATGAACAGGAGGCCGGGGCTGGACGAGCGGAGGCAGCGGGTGGTAGAGTGGGGGGGTAAGCAGGTCGGAAAGGTAGAGAGGTGCGAGGGCATGAAGAGAATTTGGAAAACGATAGAGGATCTTGGAAGTCTTTAGGATCTTCAGCTTTTTTAAAAAAAAGTACATTAATATTCCGGGTTTCACCCTTCAACAGAACTGGAATTGTTGAGCCATTATAGGGTGGAGGAGGACAAGTCAGCACCAGACATTGAGAAAAAATCGAGAATTCAGTTTTACTGACTACATTTTCAAAGGGGCAGCTAATGGATCATTAACAGATTGTCAAATAAGGAAACTGGTGTCAAACGTGCAGACTTGTTGTCATGGTAATCTCAGACAGAATCAGATGTGAAGCCATTAGTAGCTCAAAAGATGGAAGAGTTTTTAGGACTGAGTGAGAGACAGGAGTGTGATGTGCAGTTGGTGAAATTGGACTAAGATCAGCAGGTTGAAGAGTGCTCAAAGGGGTGATTGGGAGCAATGGAAATGCCTGAAGCAGAGTAGGAGCTACAGATAGAAATGTTAGTCTGTGGATAGAAAAGGAGTTTAGGGACGTGCTTGCTGACAGAGGTGTGCAGAACAAACCAGTTTGACATGTGGCCTCACTGCTCTAGATTCTTGGGTTTGTGTGTTTACTTCAATAAAAATGATCTTGCAACCCACTCCTGAAGGAGACTTATTTGATCCTATGGTTGTTAACCCTTGATTAAGCGCTGTTTCTTTTCTCTTAGGAACGAATGTCACTTCGACATCAAAACAGTGGAAAATGGGCGAAATCTAAAGTTATAATGGCAAAGTATGACAACGAGGTAAGGTGTGTTTTTTAAATTTTAAAGAATGGCAGCTGTCATGAAATGTTATCCTTGTAAGTATGACTTCTCAAAGCACAATCTTATTGTAAGATGTTTTGATTGGTCTCTCTAGAAAGCAGATCTTTACCTTGAAATGTAATACCCATAAGGTATGCGCACGACAACATTTTGTACACTCTTAAAGAAAGAATGATCATACAAGAGTCTTTTTTGCACATATAATGGATGCCAGTGTTACAAGAAGGAATGTAAGCCCTACTGGCTAACTCCCAAAGAACCGGTAGTTTTAGCAGCCTATGGAGCAGAATGTCTGTCTTATCACTCAAAAATCTATTTACATTGCGTTGTATTCATTCCTCTTCCCTCAATTTTAGCTGTAAAGGGTGACTACATTTTTTCTGTTTCGGGCAATTTCTGCATTCTGTCTGACATGACTGCTGCAATAACTCTTTTTGACTTCCAAGCGCAGCAAGTTAAAGTTACCAATTAGTTTTGTGCTGCTATTATTGGATTTGAAAGGTTCCTTTGGGTTGCCGGTCACCCAATCTGATGAGTCAAAGTGCAATGCATATATTAGAATCCAAATTTCTTGTCTGTCAGAGTTCACTTGTCACAGAACTTCCTCTTCCTCTACTAAAAGCAGAAGTTTGTGGAGACCTGTAGTTCAATGGTTAGAGCACTCGCCTCACAAGCGAGAGACCTGGGTTAGATTCCCAGTAGGGCGAAACCTTGGCAATTTTCCTTACTCCATATCCCTGATAATAATCACTCAAGAAAAAAACAATAATAATTTGGTCACTTCAATCAATGACTGTTTGTGGGACACAATTGTGCGCAATTGGCAGCTGCGTTTCGCCCACAAAAATCCAGTCAATTCACTTTACAATATATTCTGTGAAGTGCTTTGCAACATCTAGAAGATGTGAAAAGCGCTATATCAAATTCAAGGATTATTATTATATAAGATGATCGTACTTTTTACATTGTTACTTCAGAGCGGAAGGTAATTAACTCTACTGTGTTTCTAGACTATTCTTTGAGCTGGTAGTTGAGCCCTTTTTCTGATGTACCCCCACACTATGAAAGGAGAAATGTCTGATCTAGCCCTCGAATAATAACTTTTTATTCAATCCTTGGAAGAAAACAGTCGCACCACGTTACAATATATCCTGTGAAGTACTCTCAATGACAGGCAAATATACAGTTTCGCCCACACAATACAGTATATTCTGTGAAGCGCTATACCAAATACAAGGATTATTATTATTATCATGTTAATATAAGAATAATTCTGGAGAGAAGAATGCATAGCCCACAACAGACTTGATTATCCCTTGAAACATGAAAGGTTTTGGGACAGGACGAGGCCTGAACATTTTCTTATGGAAAAACAGTGTGTTCTTACTTTGAGAATTATATTTGGTAGCAACAATATTATTTTTTGGACAGGAATGCATTATATTAATTGGTTGATTGAAGCGATCTGCGGTGACCAAGTAGATAAGCTTTCGACTGTTGTAAATACGTCTCATTTTTTCCTCTTAGGCTCGGAACGCAATCCAGGAACAGCTAGAGAAGAACAAAGCCCTGACCGCAAAACTCCTGGTTCCCTCGGAAAGCGAGGATGAGGTGGAAGAAGAGACAGGTGGCGAGATCATTCCTGATTTTGTGAACGATGTTCAGTCAGGAACGCCGGACAATCCTTGGATGCTGGGAAAACTCAGCACTGTCGCTCAGAGCAGTGAGCCACAGGAAACCGAGGAAATCCAGCCTGTGAAGGTGGATGAGAACGAAGCTTCAGAGGACGAAGAGCAACTTTCCGAAGACGAGACTTTGTTGCGAGAGTTTGAGGAACGACGGCGGAATCGTAGACAGCGTAAGAAGAAACCGGTTGGGTCACCAGGTCCTCTGGATGAGACAGTAAACGGAGGAAATCTGAAAAAGACCAAGGGCAGAAAAAATCTGAAAGCAACTGAGGAAGATAAAGAGAAAACCATCCCCACAGATCCGGACGAGAAAGAGGATGGTTTTGACGAAGATGTAAATGAGTTCAACCAACTCTTTCAGAAATTGTCTGAGAAGAAACCAAAACTCGCGGGGATCAAAGCTAAAAAAGCTCGGAGCAAAAAGCTGCAAAAGAAACCAGCGGAAAGTAAAGAAGAACAAATCCCGGAAGAGCGTGAGGAGCCCCTACTGGATCAACAGTTGGATCGCAAAAGGACGATGGAGGAACTCGATGCTCTTGGTCAGGAAGGATCCTGTGACATTCACGAGGTCTCGGAGGCAGACCCAGCCCAAAGCCAGCCAGGAGCTTCAGAGAACTCCTCAAACTCAGCAAATGCTAAACCTGAAAAGAAAAAGAGCAAAAAAGATAAACTCATCGACATTGAGAATGTGCTGATGGTTCCATCCAAAACCATTAGTGCCCCTTTGGTTCCAACAGCCATAGAAGAGGAGGTAAGAACTATTAATGCTGCGGATTCAATACTTTCACGCTTTCTCTCCCAACAACTGCAGGAACCGGGTCCAGAATGGGATAATTAATGGGTAAAGTGGCATTTTTTAAAATAAAACATAAGCAATCAAAACAGTTGAGATAGGAGCAGTGGGGGCTTGTGTGCGTTTGGGCTAAATGGCCTGACTCCATGCCATATCTATCTATTGTAATTCTGTGTAAAATATGGAGCGTGTAATACCGGTACTTCAGTTTACATGCAACATGTGGTGGTGTCAGTGGCTTCTTCCACCCTGGGGTTGTTTTTAACTCAAAACTTGTTCACGTCAGAATGAAGAGGTGCAGGAGGACCAACGCATGATCATCCGAGAGGCCTTTGCATCAGACAATGTCATTGATGATTTCATGAAGGAAAAGCAGAAGCAGATTAACGCCAACAAACCCAAGCACGTCGACTTGACCCTGCCAGGCTGGGGCGAGTGGGGAGGAGTGGGCCTGCACACCAGCAAGAGAAAGAGAAGGAAGTAAGTTTGGGGCTGACGCTGTTTGTGTATGTGTAGCTGCTCTGTACCATCCGCCACTGCGGATTGCATTATATTTATTGTGTGGATAGAATTCCCTCCTTGGTCAAAGGACGGGTATTTAGCAGAAGCCATGTTGAATTTATTTTCTATTTTATTACCAGTGATTTCAGCTTGTTGGATACTCTCTGCACTCTGTGTTGCTGCTTATTATGAGTAGAATGTTTTGAAGCAGAAAGTGTTAATCTGACTGCTTAAAATTCTATTAAAATAAAGCTCTTCTATTCTAAATATGACCTCCAGTTTAGCTGGAAACTAATAATAAAAATGTGGCCACTCAATTCACGTCTGCCGAGTTTCTCCAACAAAATATATAGTCAATTCATTTTACAGTATGTTGTATGAAGGGCTTTAAGACATCTTGAAGACGTGATAAGGCATCATATCAAATGCAAGGATTATTATAGCATTAGGTTAACTCAACTGCATTCCTATTGTGCATTTAACTTCTGATTCCTGCTCTATCTTTTGCCAGGTTTCTTATTGAAGCTGCTCCAGCTCCTCCCAGGAAGGACCAGAAATTGCCGAATGTCATTATCAGTGAAAAGCGAGATATTGCAGTCGCGGGTTTCCAGGTAAGGGATTGCCCCTGTGATCAGGTTCCTGTTGCTATGTGTATTTTTCCGGAGTGAATGACTGGGGTGTTCTCCCAAAGGGGAACAGAGTACATCAGCTTACACTGCTTTCACCTTTTAGATCAGGCTTTGAATCCAGGAACTGTTGATAAGGTTTTCATGCGTAGTGAGAGTCTGGTTTATTTCAGTACCATTCCAAAGTAAGTGGTCATTCCGCACAAGTCACTATAAAGTTATGAGTCTCTGTGCAATGCATCTAAAAGGATGGGAAATTGAAGCACTGGGCAATGTTGAAAAGTGTGTAAAGGAGCAGGAAAGAATCTAGCCAATGAAGCTCCCAACTAGGGACTGGTTTCTGTACTCCCTGAAGGATACAAATTCTGTTCTGTGTAACACTGGACCTACCCAAGAGAGGTGGAAGTTTTCCATCTTCCAGCACTTGCTTCCCTTGCCTTTTTTTATATATATAATATAATGTATATATATACATATATAAACATACAGGGAATCAGCAGGGAATTAGGATAGGAGTAGTTAGCTCCAGTGAAGAAACTAGCACCAACTAGATGGGCTCAGTAGCCTCCTTCTGTTCCCAAATTTTTATGATTCTAAAGTACAAACAGAGGGTATGGAATGGGACCTTCTCCTTAGTGTGACTCCTTTAACTTATTTCGACACGAATAAGACATGCAGGAAATTCACACGGAAAGAGTTTCCATTGCAAGATCCAAACATTATGTTGGACCGCAGTGGTTTGCCCTAACTACAGACTTAGTGCTGAGAAATGTGTTGTAATTTTGGGATGATTAAAAGTCCAGTCACTTTAAGACTTGCTGGACAGTGCACACAATGGAAACAGATTGGGAGAGGAGTGGGGGGTGATGTATAAATGAAGGCTGAAGGTCAGATTAAAAACTGAAACTGTTACTTGTCCTGAAGCCAATGTCATTCTATTTATTCTCTGGCTGAATTGAACTGTACGTTCTGATTACATGATCCAGCTTGTATGCCGATTCCATGTCCCGAATAAAGACTTTATATTTTCTTGTGCATCGATTGCAGAGTTGGATTGTGTTTCTGGAAGCTCCAGATGCCATGTGCGCTGATCAGCGGCCGTCCTGAAACCATTCTTGACACTGTAATACCTCTTCTGTTGAAAGAAGTGGCTGATTATCATATTTTTCTCTATTGAACTGTTCTTAAATGTCACTTGACAAAAGGGCTCTTTCGCCCACCCCAGTGCTAATTGGACACGAAAAAACCTGCCTCTTGTATAGTCATTTGTTTTTCACAAGGTTGTTACCTTAGCATCACTCTTATGCTGTCTTTCTGTCCGAGGTACGAATCCAAGGAATTATTGATGGTTAGAGTGCGGACTGGGTCATCAATGAGACTTGTGGTGTGTGGACGTGGCTTTAGCACTGCCGGCCTAGCTGGGAGAGTGCTGTCTGTCCCTCTGATGTAAAGCAAACGATTGCCCTTTAATCTTCTTTCCACTTGTACGTGAAATATGTGATTGACTGGTGCGCTCAATGAGTCTGTCGTGGCAATCATCTCCCTCTCATCACTCACCCTGCCCACCAGATGGTTCGTCCAGCCCAAAAACAACACTAGAACTGTTGCTTTTTTTTAAAAAAAACTGTTCCCGCCTCTTCACAGGAAGTGGTGAGAAGGGAGCAAGGCGATTGTCCTCTGGCATCTCTCAGTGCGATGTATATATGCAGATTTGTGTAAAACAAACTCTTTATTTACAGGCTGCAGTCACTCACCAAATGAGAATTGTCTATCTCCGTGCTAATTTTTTCTGTTTGCTCTCATTTAGGTGAGTGAACTACCATTCCCATTTTCCCACCGGGAGCATTTTGAGAAGAGCATCCGAGCTCCTATTGGGAAAACGTGGAACACCGAGAAAGCCACTAAGAGACTGACTTTACCCAAAATTGTTACGAAGATGGGGGCTATAATTGAGCCAATCTCCGAGGAGGATGTAACTCAGGATCAGAGAAGACACATGAATTCAAATATGGAACAGAATTCTGATGGAGGCCAAAAAAGGCAGTGGAAGAAGCCGAGGAAGCCAGCGAAGCGGGGTGGCAAAGCGTTCTAAATCACAAGACAAATGTGGGGCACGTGGCAAGCTCTTGCCTTGTTCAGAACACTTCCCTCACTCACTATGGTTGTGGGTGCGTTCATTACATCCCAAAGCGTGGCCGGTCACTCAAGCTCGCCAGCCACACTTGTGGATCTGTCCGCTTTGAGGAAAACAACTTATTGACCAGATGTCTTCATTGAAATGCATCATCCTGTTCGATGAAGCAACGGAGCAGATTGTGTGCACGCGCGCGCACACACACACACACACACCTGTTGAGTTGCACAAATTAGCCATTAAAGTGGAGATTACTGTTCGTTTAAGATTCAATGGATTGGAGAATTTTACATTTGTTTTCAATGGAAATTGACTATTTTTGACTTATTGACCCAATATTTTTACAGAAAATTATGCCAACCTTCTTGATTTTTTTTAACGCTTAAATATATATATTAGGGGAGACTTGAAACACTGGTTTGAGGTTAAGAGTGTGCATTTCTAATGCAAACAAAATGAACCATAATATTTATCGCCCGTTTGTTTAACTGGAGGTTCGTTACCAGAAGAAAAAGTAATATTTGTATCACGGATGATATTTTGTTGAACAAAATACCATTGCTGGCAAAGGGAAATTACATTTTTAACGGATTTCATTCAGAAGTAATTATTTCGACACTCCTCATCATTGATCAGTTTGTGTCATCTGAGAAATGTACTCACAGTGCCCCCTATAGGGCTGCTTCCAATACTGCACCACATATGACTGCAATACAGATGCCTCGCATTCTGTATTAATAAATAATTACAGCCCAGCGGGCTCAGGCTTGTGTACCTCCCACATACTCCTCTGTAGCAATCTAAAACCCTGTCATCTAGCAAAGAAGGGGAGGTTTGATTGATGGGCGGCTCTGCCGTTTCCGGCTGTGTGGGTGAGCACACCAAGCCGTCACTGGGACTTTTCCTTGCGTTACTTTCAATATTCCATTAATGGTCACCGTTGAGTCTTAGTTTCAAGAATCTGGACATCTGATGCATCTTAGAGGCCATGGTGGAGTCCTGTAGCTCTGGTTAGAGCACTCGCCTGGCAAGCAAGACACCTGGGTTCAACTCCAGGCAGGGCAAAACCTTGGGCAAGTTTCCTTACCCCCACACGCCTAATAATAATCCCTCCAAAACTAAACAATAATAAATTGGTCATTTTCAATCCACAACTGTTTGTGGGATACTGCTGTGCACAATTGGCTGCCACGTTTCACCCACAAATATAGAGTCAATTCACTTTACAGACTATTCTGTGAAGCGCTTTGAGACGTCTAGAAGACGTGAAAAGCGCTATATCAAATGCAAGGATTATTATTATGACATTTGCCCATTCCTGTCTTTCCCCCTCGTTCTTTTGAAGCATCCTGTTTATCCAGGTTAAATAGTTGTGCCCTTGTTTATTCCTGTTGAGCAGCCAGTGATCTAATTCCATTTAGCACCAAAATGATCAGCCTATAGACTATATATATAGTGCACCCTAGAGAAGGATCCCAATGTTCCTGCGGTGGAGTGAGGTAGGTGAGAGGTAACGATTGCTTTATATCATTGTCTCCAAAGGGGACTTCTAATTCAGAACTGCTATTTTAAAATAATCTCAATTTGCAAAACATTGTGTTGAATTAAAATATGGGACTGACTTACTGACTGACATTCAAATTGCCCTGTGTTTATATTTGTTTTATGGCATCCACTTTACTTTGCTGCTGCACCCATTTGGCGTAATTAATTACGCTTGCATTTGACAAAGTGACTTGTATCAACACTCTTCGTACAATGAGTTATTTTGTAGGATTGTTTTGTAGGATTATTATTATTATTGTGACTGCTGTGAAGGAAAGCAGAGTAGCCAATCTGATTTTTGGTTTTAACCAATAACATGTCTGAAATACAAAGGAAATGAAATCAGCGTTTAGTCCAATGAACACCTGAAACGGTAACTCCCAGGTGAGGTGTTTCTCTTTTGCTCGCTCTTGGTGGTATTCTGGTGTGCCAACTATACACGCATCGCTCTGCCTCTCCCTCTCTGTGCCTGCAGGTAAAAGTGGTGAAGCATTTGGGAGATGGAAAACACTGCGTGTGTTACTCTTCCCCTCTCTGTGTGCAGGTTTGTGTTCTCATTACAGAAACCAAAGCCCTGAAAAACCTTAATTTCTAAAAGCACTAAAATTGCTAAAAATTGCTTTAAAAAATGAAAAATCGAATTAATAAACCCTCAAAATCAGAAGCGTTGAGCATATTGTTATCTGCCTGTGTTCTGCCCATTAGAAATAAAATGTGCTTCAATCACTGCTCACAGTGGGCTTGGAATAAGTCTTAACTTTCCCCTGTTGTGTGATCCTGGATCAATTTCTACACCCTTCCCTGCTGTGCAGCATGTCTGATGTTAATCCCAGTTTTGTTGCTATTCCCGCAAATGCTACCTGCTGTCGCTATTTCATTTACAATAATAAATATTGCATTTGATATAATGATTTATTTTATTACATTGTCGAGATGTCTCAAAACTTTTCCAAGTGTAAAGTGTAATGACTGTATTTGTAGACGAACACAGCAGCCAACTTTGCACACAGCGATGTCCCCCAAATGTGTATGAATCGAATGATCAATTTTATCTGGGGGAATTGTTGGCGTAGACAACAGTAGAAATTCAACAGCAACAACACATTACATTTGTATAGTGCATTTCACGTCAGCAAGACGTTTCAGGGAGATGGGAAACACTGCGTGTGTTACTTTTTCCCTCTCTGTGTGCAGGTTTCTGTTCTCATTACAGAAACCAAAGCCCTGAAACTTCGCAAATTCACTTCACTGTTCGAATCGTGCAATGGGATCTTTTAACATCCACCCGTCTCATCTGAAGCACGGAACCTCCAACAATGCAACCTCGATTAGTTTACTGGTTACTACATGCCGTGCTTCCCAACCAGTAATGCAGTGCTGCTCACAAGATCTTAAATGAATCTGCAATTGTCCCACAGCATTGAGCTTGGGTGGGGTGTGAAACCTGTGCACAGAGACCACCCACCATCAGTCCAAATGTTGAGTCAGCCATTCTATCTCTACAAAGGGATTTGTTTTCCTGCCCAAGTCACTGTACTTTCAGTACCTGCTCACAGGCATCTATCTGTCTGTCTGTGAGTTATTTGTTACAAGAGAGGTGGTGGCTCAATAACCTGCACTTCTTTCCCTCTGTCCCTTCACATTTTGTTTTCTCCTTTTTTCCCAAATGCATAAAGTTAGGTTGCCTTGTGTTAGTTATGGGACACAAATATGTCATCACCAATACGCAGTGCTAAACTCCCCCCACCCCCCCTTTCATTACTGAGAGGAGCAGTTGAACTCCATCTTAAAGATGGCAGGCAGCTATTATTACGCTCCCTAGTCACATCTTGTGAAATAAATAAGCTCTGTTCAATAAATAATGCAGAATGCTGTATTTAACCTCTCCGCAAGCCCTTGAAACTCTAGCAGGGAATGCAAGCCTCCGAACGTAACGTTGTGACTTTATGGTCTATTTCAAGAGTAGAGTAAAATGAGAAGCATCTGTGGCCTGGCTACTAAAGGACATTAAGCATCAAAACTGCAGAGAATTTTTTTTCTGACGATGTGAAATCCTTCCTTCAGATGAGATGTTAAGCCACCTGCTTGTTCAGGTGGACGTTAAAGATTCCATGGCACTATTCAAAAAGAGAAAGGAGTTTTCCTGGTGTCCTGACCAATATATCCTCCAAATAAAATTGATCACTCACTCCATGGCTGTTTGTGGGACATTGTTGTGTGCAAACTGGCTGCCATGTTTCGCCCAAAAATACACAGTCAATCCACTTTACACTGAAGCTGTATGTTCCGGCTCGCTGGACGGCCAGGGTCTGAGTGTACATAATGTCTTGTCACGTAAAAGAAGTTTTTTAAACACACCAGACTGGCTCTCAATTCCAGACTCAGGAGTTCAAAGTTGCGGTGTAAATTATGAATTCCATGTAATTCAGGTATTCACTTAATGAAGGAGTTTCTCCCGATGTCCTGGCAACAATCCCCTCGAAAAAAAAATTGGTTATTCGTTTCAGGGCTGTTTGTGGGACATTGCTATGCGCAATTGGGCTGCTGCGTTTGCCTATGAAATAAAGTCACTCCACTTCACTGTAAATTCCCTGAAGCACTTTAAGATGTTCTCCTGATGTTAAAGGCACTATGTAAAATACAATAAATATTCTTGCAGTATATGATGTGTTTCCAAGTTCATAACTGCTTTCTTCCCTCCCACTCTGCTTTCAGACGTTTTCGGAGATGTGATAAGGTGCTGTATGACAATTGTAAGGATTATTATCATAAAAGCAAATAGGCTGAAATTGCCCAGCAGAATGATCAACAACTAAAGAGGGGTTAATATTTTTGGATGTTACTGGAATGACTGGCCTGGAGATGCCCCTTTATGGGATAGAGGAGAACAAGTAAGACCAGAGCGACACAGCAAAGACAATGGGCAGAAGTTAAAGTTTAAACCGTTAATAACAAGCACAAAGGGTCAGTTCGTGGGTCATTGACAGTCAGGGAAATGTTGAAAAGCGGTGTTAAGGTAGGGTCACCATATTTTGTAAACCAAATCTCGACACGCGCACAAAAAAATGAACTGGCCACAATTCCTGATGTTGGCAGTCACTGGAGAAGTGTGTGGTAATGACTCTTGATGAGCGTATCTGATTTAAAATTTTATTGTCCTTGCTCACTGTGTTGCTGTACTAAGGACAAGGCAAATTTGGGGAAATCAGGGATGCATGATCACACTATGTTAAGGAGCTGCACAATATATAAAGGGAGAGTTAAAATGCATTCTCTCTGGCCGGTCCAAGCTCAGACTAAACCCACACTCGACTCTGCCTCCCCCCCTCACCAACTCGGCCTGGTGATCTGCCACGGTCAAGCGCTCTAGCATCCTACCCTGCGTGAGGGCTATATAAATGCAAGTTGTTGTCGTTGTTGTCTGTGCCAGGTAATCAAACAGCTTTGATCCCTCCCGAGAGGAACAAGAAAACATAAAAGGATGTGAAAAGTGTGAGGCTGCCCTCAGTAGGTTGTTGTGACATTGTCCTTTCTGTTGGAGCTCAAGTGACTGAGGGTTGCAACTGCCTTGAAGTGCACACAATGGAACTAAATAGCCAGTGAGCGAAGAGGTTGTCCCAGACACCTTCCCATTGCTGAAGAGTCAGGAACTTGTCAACGCAGTAAAGCTCTCCATGAACATTTCTGCACCAAAAACTGATGATGAAGACAATGGGTGAGAAATGATCCTACTATTAGGACTGTTTGTGGGACACTGCTGTGCGCAATTGGCTGCTGTGTTTTGACCACCAAATATACAGTCAATTCACTCTACAGTATATTCTGTGAAGGGCTTTGAGACTTCTCGACGATGTGATAAAGTGCTATATTTTCTTATTCTCTTAGGAATTAACACGATGGGATATAGTACAAAGGTAGTTCAGGACATATGTGCATGCGACCGCCAGGAAGGTGAAAGGCGAATTAGATGGACCGTGGTCTTTTTTTTCTCCTAGCATTTCTTATGTTATGTTATATATCAAATGCAAGGATTATTTATCATTGCTG